GGGAGGAAGTGTTGAAAGAGCTGGAGATCAGGAGGTCTTGGGTGGGGTGGAGAAGAGAGCTTGGGTGATATTTTGAGATAAGGTGGGTGATGTAGTCGGGGGCAGAGTTGTAGATAGCTTTGTATGTTGTTTGAAAAAATAGGGGGTCCCTATATAGGGTGAACCAAAGCGGTCAAAGCTTGCAAAGTTTACTACTAATAACTCTCAAGGGGTATTCAACCCAAATAATGTAGAGCGGGGGCGCCCACAATTTTTCTTCTGGAGATCTACTTTTCATATGACGAGCTCAATGAGATCTACCAACGAAAAAAACACCTAAATTCAGGGGCGGGAGGGGGCGTGGCAGTGCATTGAAGTCAATGGCACCAAAGCCACGCCCCCAGTGCAATCGCCACACTAGGAATGCAGGCACATTAGTGCCTGCGTTTCCGGTCCAGTGCGATCTGCAAAAATGCTGCATTTCTGCAGATCATGCTGGACCGGAACGGCCGATCACACTGAGGGCGGGGAGCGTGGCTGTGGTGCCATTGACTTCAATGCACTGCCACGCCCCCTCCCGCCCCTGAACTCAGGGAGCCGGCCGGCTTGCGTTCCAATGCGTTCTAGAGGCCGAACACTCTGGAACGCAGACTTTGTGGTGTTAACCGGCCCTTTCTTCTCTCTCTCCTCGCGCTCTCTCTCTTCCCTGTTTCTATCTGCTGTCTCTTCTCTCCCCTCCTCTGCTGTCTCTCTCCTCTCTCTCTGCTGTCTCTTCTCTCTCTCTGCTGTCTCTTCTCTCACTTTCTCTGCTGTCTCTTCTCTCTCTCTCTGCTGTCTCTTCTCTCTCTCTGCTGTCTCTTCTCTCACTTTCTCTGCTGTCTCTTCTCTCTCTCTCTCTGCTGTCTCTTCTCTCACTTTCTCTGCTGTCTTTCTTCTCTCTCTCTGATATCTCTTCTCTCTGCTGTCTCTCTCCTCTCTCTCTGCTGTCTCTTCTCTCACTTTCTCTGCTGTCTCTCTCCTGTCTGTCTTTTCTTACCTCCACTGCAGCAGCTTCCCAAGTCTCTTCTCCTCTCTCCTTCCCATCTGCAGCATCTCACACATTCAGCTACACGAGCACCGCGGGAGGAGAGGACACAGGTCAGTGAGCCGATCACGATCTACCAGTGTTCGCTTTGCGATCTACCGCCCCAATGGGGCATAGAAGTTTATATAGATAAGGAGTTATATAGTTTGTTTTCTTAGATCATTTTCCTATTGACATTTTATTGTTATTCTGTGCTGCCATCTAGTGACCCTTTGTGGTAATGCACATGCTTTCCTGTATTCCTTCCCTGATTATGATACATTTCCTGTATGTATTGCTCCACCCTTCTTGTTGGTCAGTACTTCCTGTGTCATGGCTACAGGGCCACATGTAACGGGACACATATAATCTGCATCACACGCTACGATCAGTAACATTTTTTGACCGCATAATACTGAAACCATTCATTCTGCTGTATCCTGTTGTCTGATGTACAGAATAAAGCAACCTTTGTGGATCAGCAAACCACATCAACTCCTGCCAACAACAAGGTGACTTCCAGCCACAAGCCGCAGCTTAAGCCACAGCCAGCAGAAGCCTTAGAGACTACACCAAAGTTAAACGCTCATGCAACATCATTTTATCCTGGTAAACCTCACCATACATCACAGAGAACTTTCACACCCAAGGGGTTCCACAAGTTACTTTGGCACCAAAGAGTGAGAGATCAGACATGGCTGACTTCGCCAGATATATGGTACACTGCAAGCTCATTAACACTAGCCTCTCAAGGTTTGATGACTGTCCAGAGAGCTACAGGGCCTGGAGATCAACCTTCAAGGCTGCTATTGCTGATCTCAACCTTTCTACCAAGGAGGAACTTGATTTGCTCATAAAGTGGCTGGGGCCAGAATCTGCAGATCGTGTTAAGAGACTGAGGACAGTGCATGTTGACCACCCAGATGCTGGTCTTGTTGTTGCTTGGGCAAGACTTGAGCAAGCCTATGGTAGCTCTGAAGCCATAGAAAGCGCTCTATTCAAGAGGCTGCAAAACTTGTTCCATAGTCATAGCAACATTAGCAAAAAACTCTTTAAGATTAATTCCGTAACAAAGACTAGAGGCCACCACCCAAAACTGGTAGAAAAAAAAATTCAAACACAAGGCGCAAAGGGCGCAGTTTGTGCGGTTAAGGTCTGGAACTCACTGCCTCAAGCGGTAATTTCCACGATTAGTCTGGAATCATTCAAGAAGCTTTTGGACGACTTCCTGAGAGACCGTAATGTACAAGGGTACAGGTACTCTTAAGAATAAGAACACTCATGGACCTATACACACACACACAATAGGTTGGACTTGATGGACTTATGTCTTTATTCAACCTCAAATACTATGTAACTATGTAACCTCATGCCTCAGGTGATGTGTGCTCCAATAAGATCATCGTACAGGTAAACCAAGACAACATCGCAACACCACCCTGCAATAGTTCTGCCATTTTGTCTGATTGCATCAGAGGTGAATACAAGTTCATTCTTCTTGGACAGAGACTTTCACAGAGAAGTTAGGAATGTTAGTATAAACATTCTTCAGATCGTAAATTGTGGGGGTCTCAGACTGACTTCCAGCCACAAGCCGCAGCTTAAGCCACAGCCAGCAGAAGCCTTAGAGACTACACCAAAGTTAAACGCTCATGCAACATCATTTTATCCTGGTAAACCTCACCATACATCACAGAGAACTTTCACACCCAAGGGGTTCCACAAGTTACTTTGGCACCAAAGAGTGAGAGATCAGACATGGCTGACTTCGCCAGATATATGGTACACTGCAAGCTCATTAACACTAGCCTCTCAAGGTTTGATGACTGTCCAGAGAGCTACAGGGCCTGGAGATCAACCTTCAAGGCTGCTATTGCTGATCTCAACCTTTCTACCAAGGAGGAACTTGATTTGCTCATAAAGTGGCTGGGGCCAGAATCTGCAGATCGTGTTAAGAGACTGAGGACAGTGCATGTTGACCACCCAGATGCTGGTCTTGTTGTTGCTTGGGCAAGACTTGAGCAAGCCTATGGTAGCTCTGAAGCCATAGAAAGCGCTCTATTCAAGAGGCTGCAAAACTTGTTCCATAGTCATAGCAACATTAGCAAAAAACTCTTTAAGATTAATTCCGTAACAAAGACTAGAGGCCACCACCCAAAACTGGTAGAAAAAAAAATTCAAACACAAGGCGCAAAGGGCGCAGTTTGTGCGGTTAAGGTCTGGAACTCACTGCCTCAAGCGGTAATTTCCACGATTAGTCTGGAATCATTCAAGAAGCTTTTGGACGACTTCCTGAGAGACCGTAATGTACAAGGGTACAGGTACTCTTAAGAATAAGAACACTCATGGACCTATACACACACACACAATAGGTTGGACTTGATGGACTTATGTCTTTATTCAACCTCAAATACTATGTAACTATGTAACCTCATGCCTCAGGTGATGTGTGCTCCAATAAGATCATCGTACAGGTAAACCAAGACAACATCGCAACACCACCCTGCAATAGTTCTGCCATTTTGTCTGATTGCATCAGAGGTGAATACAAGTTCATTCTTCTTGGACAGAGACTTTCACAGAGAAGTTAGGAATGTTAGTATAAACATTCTTCAGATCGTAAATTGTGGGGGTCTCAGACGCACATCAGTTAAGGATGTTGCCAGCCGATGTAGGTCGAGATTGATGACTTTCTTGCCTCTACTAAAGACAATGTACAAGAGACTGGAATGTTGAAAGTTTTTTTTTCTCTCTCTCAATGAATAGAATTGCTCATAAAGAGAAAGGGAGGGAAGGGGGATGATGTTAGACGGGGAGTGCCACACCCCTGGTTTAAATTGCAAGAAAGGGTATTTTGGAGACTGGGGTTTTTTAGGTGCCTAAAAAACCCCAGTCTCCAAAATACCCTTTCTTGCAATCTCAATAAATAGAAGATGGGGTTTATCTTAAAGTTGTTTAT